AAAGGGCATTGGATTATTGTTCTTTTCCTCAGCTTTTGTTTTTTGTTTTTGTTTTTAAATATTATACAGCCCTTTTACATTTGCGTCTGAACTGTGACATTTTATTTCTTTAGAAACAGCTCATGGTTTATACTATCGCTCACCTATAGTTTAGACTATCACTCATATAGCTATGTGTATGAGAAATTCCCTTCCACTATAGTTTAGACTATCGCTCTTGTACTAAAAGAGAGAGTATATATTCCAATTAGGACTGAGGAGGGGCAATGCTATGGATTCCCAATTCTTGAATCAAGGCATTCAAATCCTTGTAAGATGATCCACCTTCCTCCACTCTTTCTTGCCATTTCCCCAAGCACCTTGGCTCTGCTTCTCATTTCCTCTGCCTCTTCACCCACCATAACCTCTGTCACAGCCTTTTCTATATCTCCCTTCTTCACTCTATCCCCTCCAAACCTAGCCCATTTTGTAGCACCCTCAACCACTCTAACCCCAATCCCAAGTATTTCAGCCACCAATGTTTCCTTCTAAAAGTGATCAGCAAACGCAGGCCACATGGCCATTGGCACGGTCGCAGTCACTGCTTCCATGGTTGAGTTCCATCCACAATGAGTCACAAAGCCTCCTGTTGCTTGGTGCTCAAGAATTGGCACCTGTGGAGCCCATCCTCTTATAACAAGTCCTCTGCCTTCAACTCTGTCCTCAAACCCTTCAGGCAACCAGTCTTCTTTATTTTCTTGATCACTCTTTTCTTTTTTCACTACCCAAATGAATTGCTGCCCTGAAGCCTCAAGACCCAATGCAATCTCAAGGAGCTGAGCATCATCAAACTTCACCAAACTTCCAAAGCTCACATAAATTACTGAATTGGGTTCCTTAGAACTTAGCCACTTCAAAAATTCATGTTCATCTAAGGAGGCTTTGGGTCCTCTTTTTGCCTTATCTTCAATCTCCTTATTGCATAGAAAAGGAGGTCCAATATGCCAAGCCTTGATCCCCAAAAAGTTCCTGTAATGGTCAGCATAAGCTGGTTCAAGCTCATAGAAGCTGTTGACAAGAACCCCATGGCTCTTCCACTCAGATTCTGCAGCTGCTTTGCCAAAACTTCTCAACTCAGATTCTTGTTTCATGAAATCTGGTATTTGGTTTCCTGCAAGCTTGTGCTCATGTGGTAAGTTGGGAATGACAAGAAGTTCAGAATCAGACACTATGGAAAGGACTATTTTCATCAAATGGTGTGAAACACATAAAGAGATGAAATTTGTGCCATGGAAAACAAGCCTTGGGATTCCAAATTTAGCAGCAACATCAGTTGCCCATGGGAAAAATATGTCAGCCACAAGGCAATTGGGTTGGTGATCTTTGAGGAGCTGCTCAAGTTGTTGATCAAGCAAAGTTGTGGCCTTCAAGAATTTTTGGAGCTCTTCCTGTGTTTCAACCATGCGAGCACTCTCACACCCTTGCAGGATTTTCTTGTTCTAAGATTATAGTGTAGTGGTTTGGAGCAAATACTCCTTACATGAAAGGTCATGGGTTTCAATCCTAGCATCCATATAGTGTGTGTGAGTTCAGTATGCTATCGTCCCTATCAATTAAAAAAATACAGTTTTCGATTGTCTTCCCATTATTTGGTTGGTCCACTGAGTTATATGATTATAGAGTTATTTGAGCCAAATAATATGATATTGCACTAGTTTTTGTCACGTTAGTGAAGTAGGCCACATTTCAAGGCAGGAAAGTCAGATTAAAGATGGTTGTATAGTCAGAAAGTTTCAGCCTGGGGCCCAAACTTATATGACCAAATGATGCAGCAATGGGCCAAAGACACCACAGCTGCTCAAGTTTCACAACAGACTTTTTGGTCAGAAACTTGCACTTTTCATTCCACAAAGAGAGATCATACAACGAGAAAGTAAACACAATACAATAAAGCAGAAAGGAGAAAAGCAGCTCTCAGTGTGAGCACTTACAAACACGCACGAACAATCAAATAAACCCAGAAAAGCAACTGGTGAAAAACGTAACAGTAGGAAAACACGGTGCGACAATCCCATAAGGAAAGTCAAAACGCCCCCAAATAAGCCAAACAAATTATGAATTCCAGGGTGGGCAGGGGAGCACATCTTTATTAAGAACATGCACTAGTGAGGTGGGTGGTCTGGTTTCCCGGGTCTCCGAGCTCCTCCTCGATAGTGCCAGCGACGCTAAATGGTCCGCCGCTTGATTTCCTGATATTCTCGTCCAAGACCACACACAGGATGCAAAGGATCTGTTTCACAACAAACTTGGAAAGACTAAAACTTGCCATACGACCTTTCTGTCACAACGTTCATTTCTCTGATCACATAATTTACTTCATACTTGCCAATAACAAACCAATTATATGTATAAGTTTGATTCCAAACACTTGACTGTAAAGAATTTAAGACACACACAATTGCTAATTTGCTACATTTAAATTGTTCCTCTATGATATCTTTACTCTTTTTCCTTTTTTCGAAATCTGATTTCATTAAAAGCGAAATAGGCAAGCGAACAATAAACAAAAGAAAAACTACAAACCTAGAAAGGAACAACTCAAACCAAGTCTATCATATCTTTACTCATGAGCAATGTCATGAGACCTTAACTCTTCAATCAAAGCATTCAAATTTGCGTGAGATGATCCCCCTACTTCAACAGCCCTCCTTGCCATCTCTGCGTAACCCCTGGCTCTGTTCCTCATTTCCTCTGCTTCCTCACCCACCATGATCCTTGTCACAGCCTTCTCTATGGCATCACTCTTCACACTCTCCACTGCCACTCTACTCCACTCTTTGGCTCCAACACCAACCCCAATCCTAAGCACTTGTGTGATCAGCTTCTCATTGTAAAACTGCTCTGCAAACACAGGCCATGTGGCCATAGGCACACCAGCACACACTGCTTCAAGTGTTGAGTTCCACCCACAATGTGTCACAAATCCCCCAACTGCTTCATGTGAGAGAATCTTCACTTGGGGAGCCCACCCTCTTATAATCAGCCCCTTCCCTTCAATTCTCTTTTCAAATCCTTCAGGCAACCAGTCTTGTTGGTTTTCTTGATCATTGTTCTGTTTCTTGACAACCCAAATGAATTGCTGCCCTGAAGATTCAAGAGCCTTTGCAATCTCAAGCAGCTGGGCATCAACAAAATTGGACAAGCTTCCAAAACATACATAAACAACTGAGTTGGGTTTCTTTGAATCAAGCCACTTTATGCACTCATGTTGTTCATCAATAGAGACTTTATCTTCTTTTGCCCCCTCATTGCGTATCCAAAGTGGGCCTATATGCCAAGCCTTGATCCCCAGAACATTTGTGTAATGATCAGCATACGCAGGTTCAAGCTCATAAAAGCTGTTAACAAGAACCCCATAGCTCCTCTCCTCAGCTTTCTTACCTTCATCATACAATCTTGAAAAGTCATTTTCAACTCCATCTCTAATAAAATCAGGCAGCTTCTTTCTTGTCAGCTCAATCTCATCTGGTAAATTAGGAATAAAAAAGGTTTCTGAATCAGATGACACCTGTAAGCTAGGATTATACAAAAACATACATAGTGTAGCACATAAGGAGAAACCACTGGTTCCATGGAATATGAGCCTTGGAATTCCAAACTTAGAAGCCACATCTGTAGCCCAAGGAAAGAACATGTCAGCCACAAGGCAATTGGGTCTATTTTGCTGCAAGAACTGCTCAAGCTGAGGCTCAAGCAAGCCTGTAGCTTTGAAAAACTTTATTTGCATTTCAGGCGAAGTTGCCAAATGCAAGCTCTGGCAATTTTCTGGCAATCCAACCTCTAAAGTAGGCACTTCGATTGTGAAAATGTGAACTGGGGAAGTTGAATTTTCAATTTTCTTGTGGATGAAGGGTGCATCTAGAGCGGTGGTGATTATTGTTGCTTTGAGACCTCTGGAAACAAATAGTTTGGCCATGTCTATGACTGGGATAATGTGGCCTTGAGCCATGAAAGGGAAGAGAGCAATATGAAGCTGATGGTTTTTGGTTCCCATGGTTGTCTTGAAGACTTGAACTCTAAGACCTAACAGTTCTAGTGGATATCATTAACTATGATGGAGCTATATGTATAGCTTGGAGTTATGATGTGTTTCATCTGATTTTCAACACTTGGCAAGTTTTCAACCAATCACATGCGTTATGATGTGTTTCATCTGATTTTCAAAACTTGGCAAGTTTTCAACCAATCACATGCTTTTATCATTAGTATATTACCCGTAGGCAAACACATGATATATTAATGAAAAATCGTGGCGGAGTCAGGAAATTTAAATTGACAATGTTTGAAAGGTTAAAACCTCCAAAAACAAATTTGGGACAACTAAGTCTCCTTAGAATTTAAATAATAATAATTCCCTTAGATACATGGTTAGGCTCGAGGATTGGGGGAGGGGAGAATTCCCTTAGCTGTTTCAACAAGTGCAGAGTCAATGACAAGAGGTACGGTTGAGGCTTAAATAATAGGGTCATGCTAGGGAGACCAACTTGGGATATCAACTTGTGTACCAACTCTCTAATAGAGGTAGAGCTCACCAATACAATGAGTCCCACGCTCTATTAGAGAGTTGGTACATAAGTTGGTATCCCAAGTTGGTATCCCTAGCATTTTCCTAAATAATAATAATTCCCTTTAACATGTCCTAAGTTTGGGTACTTTTCAGCATTTTCCTACAAAATTATTGTCATAAACTAGCACGTCGGAATCAAGTGCAGGTTTCGTTAGTCAAAATACGATTTCTCCCCTAGGTGCCAAAATTAGATATTAAGTAAGTCAATGTCTTGTTCCCCAAACCTTCGTTTAAAAAATTGATACCTTATCGCACTAAAATTCAAAGATTTTGTTCATAGTTGACTGATTAAACTAATTGTATCCCATGGAAATAACAAGCCAAACACAATTTTTTAAGCTCCATGAGACTTGCTTCCCAAGTAATGTACTGTTATATACCAACTCTATCAACCAGTTCTTTCAGTCAAGCCTTGAATGATTAGCAGTTTCATTACTTCTCAGCTTCACCATCTTCTCCATAATCACAAATCTCTTGCAACTTAAAATGGATCAAAAAACCATCCAGCCTCACATTTTCTTCTTTCCCCATATGAGTCATGGCCACATGATACCAACCATAGACATAGCCAAACTATTTGCTTCCAAAGGCATCAAAACAACCATAATTTCTACTCCTCATAATTTGTCCCTCTTCTCCAAAGCAATTGAAAGAAGCAAACTTTCGGGTTTCGAAATCGGAGTTCTTGCTCTCAAATTCCCAGCTGTGGAGGTTGGGTTGCCAGAAGGGTGTGAGAGTGACCACATGGTTGAAACACAGGAAGAGCTCCAAAAATTCTTGAAGGCCACAACTTTGCTTGCTCAACAACTTGAGCAGCTCCTCAAAGATCACCAACCCAATTGCCTTGTGGCTGACATATTTTTCCCATGGGCAACTGATGTTGCTGCTAAATTTGGAATCCCAAGGCTTGTTTTCCATGGCACAAATTTCATCTCTTTATGTGTTTCACACCATTTGATGAAAATGGACCTTTCCATAGTGTCTGATTCTGAACCTCTTGTCATTCCTAACTTACCACATGAGCACAAGCTTGCAGGAAACCAAATACCAGATTTCATGAAACAAGAATCTGAATTGAGAAGTTTTGGCAAAGCAGCTGCAGAATCTGAGTGGAGGAGCCATGGGGTTCTTGTTAACAGCTTCTATGAGCTTGAACCAGCTTATGCTGACCATTACAGGAACTTTTTGGGAATCAAGGCTTGGCATATTGGACCTACTTTTCTATGCAATAAGGAGATTGAAGATAAGGCAAAAAGAGGACCCAAAGCCTCCTTAGATGAACATGAATTTTTGAAGTGGCTAAGTTCTAAGGAACCCAATTCAGTAATTTATGTGAGCTTTGGAAGTGTGGTGAAGTTTGATGATGCTCAGCTCCTTGAGATTGCATTGGGTCTTGAGGCTTCAGGGCAGCAATTCATTTGGGTAGTGAAAAAAGAAAAGAGTGATCAAGAAAATAAAGAAGACTGGTTGCCTGAAGGGTTTGAGGACAGAGTTGAAGGCAGAGGACTTGTTATAAGAGGATGGGCTCCACAGGTGCCAATTCTTGAGCACCAAGCAACAGGAGGCTTTGTGACTCATTGTGGATGGAACTCCACCATGGAAGCAGTGACTGCCGGTGTGCCAATGGCCACGTGGCCTGCGTTCGCCGATCAGTTTTACAACGAAAAATTGGTGACTGAAATACTTGGAATTGGGGTTAGAGTGGTTGAGGGTGCTAAAAAATGGGCTAGGTTTGGAGGGGATAGAGTGAAGAAGGAAAATATAGAGAAGGCTGTGACAGAGGTTATGGTTGGTAAAGATGCAGAGGAAATGAGAAGCAGAGCCAAGGCGCTTGGGGAAATGGCAAGAAAGAGCGTGGAGGAAGGTGGATCATCTTACAAGGATTTGAATGCCTTGATTCAAGAATTGGGGCTCCATAGGATTGCCCCTCCTCAGTCCTAATTGGAATATATACTTTTTTTTGGGAGCTAAACTATAGGGGAGGGGGATTTCTCACACACACAACTATGATGCCATGGGGATATATATTTTGGCTTATGTGTATTATATAGGGCTGTATAAACCACGAGCTGTTTCTAAAGAAATAAAGTGTCACGGTTCAGAGGCAAATGTAAAAGGGCTGTATAATATTAAAAAAACAAAAAAAACAAAAGCTGAGGAAAAGAATAATAATCCTATGCCCTTTAGACGCAATAAGAAATCAGTATTGTAAACCTGTAAATATTCATGAATTTTTTAGCTCATGTGACATATTTGATGTGATTGGCTTTGATAAAAAGAAAGTTATTGTTATATTAACAAAAAAAAATTCAAATGATCGTCCAGATGAATTCTTTTTAGCGTTAAAATAACGCCGCCATTTGGTGTTACTAATTCATGTGTTGAAATTCGTATGACAATATTGATGAATTGCTAACAACACATGACGGTGTTAAAGAGCGAAAAAGTTCTCTATGCAGGACTGCAATTCCAAGTTGGTCCAACCACAAACAAATGTAGACCTTTCACCCCCAAAAGTTGAATTTGGACTAAATGGTTGTTCACAAATATCCTCAGAATTTACAAAACAATTATAGTTTGTATTTTCGACCAAAAAAAAAATATTATAGTTTGTATTAACTCTATATGCCCAAAAGCTACTTTATGAAAGCAACCCATCCAAAGAAGTTTAAGTTATAAAATAAATTTGTTCTCACCTTGCTCCAGCAAACTGTGATCACTGAAGCTTGGGCCTTACAGCAATGAATAAACTTGTGGTGGTAATAATGATATTCATTGTGCCCAAGTCAGTTGAACCTTATCATTCTCACCTCCCTCATTTCTTCCCCTCTCCTCCCCATCCCCATCGCCTTCTCCATGCTACTCAATCCCATTATGATGTTAGAGATAAGAAAAAATCATCAGAAAAATTATTGCCTCAAAATCATGATGTTCATGATGATCTAGAATGTAATGGTAGGACCAAAGCGACGATTAATAAAGAGTTGGTGGACCATTTGAATGAATAATTTAGTTTAGGGACCAAAATGTAAATCGAGTACAAATTTGAGGACCATTTGAGTAATTTACCCTTTATTTTTTGTGTTTATCTCTCTGCTCACACAAACGACACACGGTTACATTGAGAAAATGACTATTTTATTTGTTAGATAATGCATTGTAGAATGCTAATAGAGGTAGTGTGCTAACGAGGACAACAATGGTGAAAAATATTAGTGATGATGTAAGAACTCAAAATTTTATGATTAATTATACAATAGTCTCACAAACTAGAAGATGACCCCACAAACATAAATGAAAATAGTAGAAAATTCTAGACAAGAGCCACAATATACTCCGGCTAGAATTACATGTTGAAGTCGGTTTGCTATACAACCGACCTATCTAGTGGGTTCAATAATCTATAAATAGGCATTAAACCTACTCATTGTAATTAAGCTAGAAGCTAGCAACCTAAACTAATAAGACTAAGAGCATCCGCAATGATGCTCTCTATTTCTTAGCTAAAAATATAAGAAAGCTATTTTAGGAGCTCTCTAAAAAATTTCAACTCCAACCATACTCCCTAATTTGGAGAGTCATAAATGCTATAACTCTTTTTTGATTGGTCCATCTCTATTAAAAAAAAAAAAAAAGTTAGCATTAAATAAAGGTTTGAAATACTCATTAAATAAGACAGCATTAAATTATAGGGAGCCCCTAAGAGTACTTTCTCTCTCCTCAGATTTAGGAGCTCCTAGAGGACTCCCTATTTTAGGAGGTGGATAGGGAGCATGGTTGGAGTTGCATTTTTACAATTCCTCCCTAAAATTTGTCTAAGGAGGTGGTTTATGGAGCCCATTGCGGATGCTCTAATAAGTTAGCTATCTAGCTAATTAACTCAAGGTGGTGAGAATTAGCCAAGAGTGTTGTGTGGAAACACTCCAAGACTTTGTCGTTGATGAACTATACAACGACACACACACAAACCCCTTGAGAATAAAGTACACATACAAACTCCTTTGAGAATAAAGCGCACACACCACGAAGAGAATAAAACAAACACACAAGAACACAAAGATTTATAGGAGTTTGGCCTCGTGTCTACGTCATCTTGGGGATCCACCCAAGAAATTCACTAGTATATGTAAAAATGACTTTGGTTACAATCTAGAACCCCTTTAGCTCTCACAAGAACCCTAACTTTCTTTTCTCTCACCCTTACTCAAACCCTCTAATGTCCTTGTAAATACCCTAGAATTCCTTCTTGAATTCTCTTTTCTCTCACCCTTACTTCATAAAATTCCAACAAGTGATTGAACTGATGGTTATGATTGGAGAAGAGATTGAACTGATAAGGCTTGACTGCAAGAGATAGGAGATACACTTGGAATTTTATAGTACTTTGGGACTTGGGAGGAAAGGCACAGAGGGCTTTAAAAAAAATGTGTCCAGTTTGTGTAGTCAATGATTTACAATAGATTAATCTGTCAGTTCTGAACCTAGCCTTTGAAAATGTATACTTTTTGGTTTTGTTCTCTCTCTTATTTGGCTCCTAATGAAGAAGAGTAGTGATAATCTAATCTCCTCTCCTTGTACCCTTCAAAACAAGGAGGTTTGTATTTATTTTATTTTTGTACATACATAATTTATTTAACTGAATCTTAAAGGGCCAAGGCTTGTATCTTCTTCCCAATACATAGATGCCTCCAGTTTTGCATTAGGATTCTATTAACATATTATACTCACAATTCTGTTTTCCTTCTCAATGATAAAAAACAAAAAACAAAAACACACATACAGACACAAAACGTTAGTTGTTTGGCTAAAGCTTCAAGCTCTAAGGGACTTCAACTCTTCAATAAGTGCAGTTAAATCTGAGAAAGATGAACCACCTTCTTCAACAGCCCTCCTTGCCATCTCTCGAAGCGCCTTGGCTCTGCTTCTGATTTCCTCTGCTTCATCACCAACCATGATTTCAGTCACAGCCTTCTCTATGGCCTCTCTCTTCACACTGGCTTCCTGCTTCACATCTACAAATGTCGCCCACTGTTGAACACCAACAGCAACCCCAATTCTCAGTATCTCAGTCAACAACTTCTCATTGTAAAATTGTTCGGCGGACACGGGCCATGTGATCATTGGCACTCCAGAGGAAACTCCTTCAAGGATAGAGTTCCACCCACAGTGAGTCACAAAGCTTCCAATTGCTTCATGCTCAAGAATCAGCACTTGTGGAGCCCAACCTCTTATAATTAGTCCCTTACCTTCCATTCTCTTTTCAAACCCTTCAGGCAACCACTCTTCCTTTTCTTTCTTTTCTTTCTTCACAACCCAAATGAATTCCCTCCCACTTGCCTCAAGCCCCAATGCAATTTCAAAGAGCTGAGGATCAGTGAAATTGGTCATGCTTCCAAAGCATATGTAAACAACTGAATTGGGTTTCTTAGAATTAAGCCAATTCAAGCACTCATGTTCATCAAAGGAGGCTTCCATTCCCCTCATCTCTGCTTTATCTAATGCTGCCTTGTTACATAACGAAACCGGGCCTATATGCCATGCCTTCCTCCCAAACACCTTCCTATAATGATCTGCATAAACTGATTCAAGTTCATAGAAGCTGTTAACAATAACCCCATAGCTCCTTTCCTCACAGGCTTTGCATGCTTCAAACAACTTGGTGAATTCTGTTTCAACCTTTTTCTTAAGAAAAGCCGGTATTTGGCTTCCGGTCAGCTTGATCTCAACTGGGAAATTAGGAATAGTAAATACTTCTGAATCAGATGAAACCTTCAAGTGAGGCTCATACAATATCACACTAAGTGAAGCACACAAAGGGAAAAAACCAATGCCATGAAATATGAGCCTTGGAATACCAAACTTGGCGGCAACATCTGTGGTCCAAGGAAAGAAAGCGTCTGCAACAAGGCAGTGAGGGCACTGTTGGTCCAAAATCTGCTCAAGCTGTGGTTCAAGAAGGGTGGTAGCTTTGAAGAACTTTTGCTTCATCTCATTGGTTGTAGCCAAGCTAGCGCTTTCACATCCCGGAGGCAACCCAACTTCTTCAGTTGGGAATCTGATGACAATAAGTTCAATTTCAAACCCCAATTCTTTGCTGCTTTGGATTGCTTTTGAGAAAAGTGGTGCATGAAGAGGGGTGGTTATTAGGGTGGATTTTACACCATGGGAAGCAAATATTTTGGCCATGTCTATGAGGGGTATGCTATGGCCTTGAGCCATATATGGAAAGAAGAAAATGTGAAGCTGCTCTTGGGATTTTGTTTCCATGGGAACTCTGGTAGACAGTCACTACAATAATGATGCTGATGAAATATAAGATATAGAGACTTGGGAGGGGAGGGAAGGGCTTGTTTCTTTTTAAAAAATGCTTCTTTAAGGCAAGCCAAAAATGACTTTGCTATCTCTTTGCATGCGTAGTCTCTTACATCATGTGTTCACATTACAGGTTTATTTTAGTATTCTTTTAAGATATTAGTTTGATTCTATCTACATAGGAACGATCATAATAATTTATTTAATCCACCGACCTTAATAATCGAATATGCTGAATGAATGTCTCATGGGTCAACAAAAAAACAAAACTTTTAATCAAAGTATGAAAATTAAGTAGAAAAAATCAGTGCTCAATGCATAATTCTTTCATAAGAAACTGTTCTTGCTAGATTGTATCACAAAAGATTGTTAATCTCATTTGAATGTGTGGTCCAACCTTAATTATGGGACCTCAATGCTTCAATTAGAGCATTCAAATCAAACTCAGAATTAATTGGAGATATCCAATATCATTTAAATTCTCCTGTAAGATTTGCAATGTCGGATTTAACACTCTCAACACACCAACCCCAATTTTTAGCACTTGGGTCACCAACTTCTCATTATAAGATTGCTCATCAGATACTGGCAAGGTGATCATTGGCACCCCAACAACAATTCCTTCGTGATCATTGGCACCCACAATGTTAAAAGCAAAAGAACACAAAATGGTGGTATTTTTTCTATAAAGCTTCAAGCTCAAAGGGATCTCAACTCTTCAATTAGAGCTGTTAAATCTGAGAATGATGAACCACCTTCTAGTCAAACAATATGGTAGAATATTTTTCAGATATATTTCATTCTCCGAAAGGAGGTATTTATAATACAGGTTACAAACCCTAGTAGGGTTTAATTAGGAAATAAGTGGAATCCTAATTACATAATATCTACACAAAAGGTAAA